CCCGAAGCTCTTATCCTTCTAACCCCTATACAGAGAAATTACTTAAGATCTATAAACCGGTGGCTCGATAATAAGGGCGGACTATAACTATAAGTATTTGTTTTTCGAATAGCTGCTAAATAAGCACACCCTATTCGACAAACATGGTTATAAGGCATAGCTCGAGCTTTTAGCCTAGCTGCACGGGATATTCCTGCTCTGCGAGAGGCCCTCCACTATCGCCTGCTAACCAGAGCTGACTTGCTACCGACAGAACCTTTTCTATATTAGCGGCTTCCTAATCGCTTCCCGCAGTCAGTTATCCGTTATGACCGAAGTGGGGGATATTATACCGGTCAGTGATATAGAAGTGACTATCTCGGCAACGAAATCATTGGGTAACGAGCCGGTGCGGTTGATTATTATACCTGCACGAACATCCCAATCTAAACGGAGCCCGGAATAAGGGCCATAGTCACTCTATTTAATACCTCTCTAGGATAACTGCAGAGTAAAAGACGGAGACTATACGGTATACCGGCTTAAATAGTAACGTCTGCAATTTCGAATATAGGCTAGACCCAAGCTGCATTCATTCGTAACTGCCCGTATACTAATACTTTATACACCTAGGGCAATATTAAATAATAGTCGACGAAAGGAGCTTTAGCAGTATTTTATACTACACCTTAGAGTGATTAGAACCTTGGCCACGGGCACTAAGATAGTGCTTACAGAATCGACTACGCGCCCTATAGTAGTTCGTGGGCAAAGCCTATATAATTTCGCGAGGAAGGAAATCCCGCTTTAGGGATTAAGCACCAGATTAAGTGGACAGACTCTAGGAGGGATAAGGCTCGAAGTGGTAGCCAGACTATTAGAAGTAAAGCCCTAGGAGCCTAGAAGAGAGAGTCTAGACCCGCAGATAGCACTGCATTCCTATACCTTCGGTAGTAGTGGTCCGGAAATCCAGCTAGGTAAAGTTTAAGGGAGGTGCGCTTTATATCGGATTTCCCACGCGTTATATTGCTTTGCGTGACTAAGATTAGTGAAAGAGAAGCGGAAGACCTTAGATACTGATATTCTTTAGTTCTGACTCGGACTGGAACTCCGCAATATTATATCAGAACCTGCCACTAGGCATCACCACTCACTAACTACCAGGCACTTTAGCAGAAATATATAGTGCGCCGAGATTCGTCGTAAACCCTGAGGATATGCCTCCTTTAATAGACGAGACGTCCTTTCCGGGAATCCTAGGGCATACTAAGATTCCCGGACTATATTATTAGTCGAGTACAGGAGCCGGGAGCTCTAGCTATTTATATGCTTAGAAAAGCACTGTAGGAGGCAGGAGTCAAGGCTAGTTAATATAACGTTTTCTCTGTTATCGGCTTATACGCGCTTTAAACCAGGCAGGCAACGAAGCGAATACACGCCGCCGTATAAGCTAGAACCACTCTGCTAGTGGTTCTGTTCGTGGTGTTATGTTACTAGTAGCTATGCTGTTATAATATATATAACTAAACCTCCGTTCTTCGTATTTTGTGTAACTTATAGCTGAGTTTATGTTGTGATGAAATGCCTATATTTTATTCTAGTATTACTGGCAGTATAGGATTCGTTTATTCTTAATACTAGAAGCTAGATATATATTTACCCACGTTACTCGTAGCCAGATATCACGATTTTTAGCTAGAGGGCCCTTAGTCGCCGTACGGCCGGGGTCTCGGGTTAGCTAAGCTATAGGATATTAATTTCCGACGCCGGGCGAGCCGGGGTCTTCGTCGGCGCCTACGTGTAGAGTCATAGATAACCTTATATCCACCCACTTTTCCCCTGCTTCTTATCCTAGGACTCTCTGCCCTTATATCGTATCCGGGTGCTTCGTAAGGTTAGTCTAACACAGGATCACAGAAAATGTAATACCGGGAGAACTATATAGGTGTCCGGGAAAATAGTGACCAGTTATAGGCATATACTGGAGGATGTTCTAACGTTCCAGCTACGTCGTCTTTATCGGGAGGACGCTATATCCGTGTCTACGACTTTTTCTTAGACAGTAAGCGGCCCCACGGCCTTATCCTGCGTGTACTTATCCAGATCCCGCTTACACCTTATAGCGTATAGTAGAACTCTCTAAAAGCCGGATCTCCCTATTATTAACGTCGGAATAAGGGAGAAGCTAAGCTACCTCCCTCCCGAGGTCTGCGTTATTATGCCAGGGCAGAGCGTCGATTCCGAGCTAGACCCCGGCTAAACCCAGTAAATGATTCGATTTACCGTCCGTAAGCCGGCAGATAATATACTAACTCGATTATCCACGAGGGCTTAAGCATTATCGGTCTCTTAACTCGAATATCTTGCTAGTAATATCCACCTACCGTATCGAAAGTCAGAGCTGGAGGTAATCTAACCTGTTTCTTATAGAACCAGTTCGGCATCTCTGTCAGTCCTAACCTGATCACCGTCCTAGAACGAGTACTCGAGGAACCTAAGATCTTCTACAAAGACAAAAGACTTGCCCTAAGTCCGGTTCGCGATATGCCAAGGCGGTCCCGCTAAGGTTCCAGAACGCGGCCGGCGTGCTCGAGGTGCTAACGCAGAGCATATGTTATATATACGGGCGGGCTATAAAGGCGGTAAGCGTGTGCACGCCGGTATACTATGCGGATATCGTGTGTGAGCGGGCGAGGCGCTATCTAAGCGGGGCGTTGAGATGCCGAGCTAATCGGCGGCGGGGAGTATTAGTACGGAACCGGTGGTGGTGAGGAACGAGGATGTGCTAATCTATGCTAGATTGAGGGATAGTATGTTTTACGTCTAAGAGCCGAGATAATGCAAAATATGACTCTGTTCCTGCGAATCGAACGCTAAGGAAGAAAATCAGGAAGAGCCACGCTTCCGTGGGAAATAGCGTTTAATGTTGACGTATCCGTGTGTAGCCCCGCACTAAGCTTAAAATGGAATAATGCGGAAAAGTCGGATATGCCTAATCAGAGGGGAAAGTGGGGACAGTGCCTATAATTATACTACCTGCTCACCAGTCATAAGGCGGGGTAATAACCTAAGATACAGCTCTCTAAGACTACACTTTAAACAACCGCCGTAGGTCTACTACCGAGCAGCCTAGCGGGATTCTTTCTCTGCCTTTTATATTCCCTAGCAAGTAGACTACCTAGTGTATCGTCATATCATGGCCGGATCCCATTCAAACGGCTTAAAGGCGCCGCGTCTATATTCACTGCCGCCCTATCTTTAACGGGGTTAATGTATAGGTGCGGAAGAAGAAAAAGATAGAGAAACTTGTTAATAGCAGTATAGCGCCGCTCTAGCCGCTGCTTAATAATATCGGCCAGAACTAAGTTATGGAGATCCTCCGGTCTCTGCTAACAAGCCGTATCTTTAAGTCGGAGGCCGACGTAAAGCTAGAGTTCCCCGACCTTATCCTCCCGCTATCCCTCCGCGATATCCAGTGCTAGGCCTCTGAGGAACACGCGGCCAGGTTGATAGAGGAGACCTTAGAAAGCATCACCTCTCGCCACAGTAAGGGGTTGGATATTGATAACGAGGAGGATAGCGGGCCAGATAAGCATGACGAGCTTATAAGCTTAGTGCATGCATAGAGAAAACAAAGTCGAAACTTTAGCTCATACGTGCTTACTTAAGTCTAGTTATGCCTTATTCTAACTTGCCTACTAGCAGAATTAGCGACCGAAACATATCCAGCTAGGCATAACTTACCCTCGCTATACCTATCGTACCTGCCGTATCAGACTCAGTATATTATCCTTACGACCGCCTAGCGAGTTCTCGAAGATATTTCTACTTTACTACCGCTGCTATACCACGGGTGCTCCAGGAAAAGAATTAGGAGTATCCTATAGCATTAGAGCTAACTAAATGGACTAGACTCTTCCGGAAAGGCAAAAGCAAGCTTGCGGTTTAGATAATTCCTATAGAGTTTGCGTCTAAGGAGGCCTATAAGATACTTACCGCCATCACGTATCTACGACACACCGCCGTCCACCGGCTACCTATAATCGCTCGGCGTATCAGCCAATTACTCGACGCTGCCGTGAAACTAGCATAAATTCTCTAAGAAAACCTCCGTGCCGGTTAGCTGGACGAAGTAAGGTGTAACGTTAATATACAGATCAAAGCCATAGAGCTAAACAAGAACGCGCTGGAGGATACGGTGGTAGTAGAGTTATAGGAAATCCAGCGGAAAAGAAACGAGTTAGAAAGGATAGAGACAGACTTGGTCCAGAGGATGTTGGATAACGATAAGAACAATAAATCCTTAATGGGACGCCTCCTTGAGGATTCTATATATAGGGTCTTTCTGGGCGAGAAGAAGGATAAGGATAATGCAAAAGAGGAGAAGGGTAACGAACAGGAGGATGGCAGGGCCCCGTTAAACGGGGATGGGAAGATATCAGAGCAAGAAGAGGACAAGGATTACGCCAGCGGTTATAAAACGTTAGTGAAAGAAAAACTGGACGATTTGGATTAACGAAGATGGGTTCAGGGCGATTCTTCGAGGAATTAATTATCCCTCTTCCCTCCAAAGCTTACGTGGGGTTCTTCGTGGGAGCACGCGAATTCGTAAGGGAAGAAGTTAGTCGGACGATCGTGGAAGGATAGTAGCCTTACCTATCGGATAAGTCGGAGCTCGCCGGTCTACACTTCGCGATATAGACTGCCTATAGCACCGCTCTAAGGCATTAGTAAACGACGCGGCGGGGAGTATATATACCAGAGTACGGAAACCATCGTCTGCCGGGAGTGACAGGCTCACCGCACTAGAGGAATACCGGAGACTCTAAGACGGGTCTCCGAGAATAAGAGGACTAGCACGGGAGACGAGAGCGGAGGAGAGTATTTCGGTGGGCACCCGGTCGGAAGGCATATAACCTTTTAGCCTTATAGAACGATATGTGTCGTTACCTGCTATTAGCCGAATTCACGAGCCGCATTATAGGATACGGACCTAACTATATTAGCTCGCTATGCCCACGATGGATAACAACTATATCATTCTCTACTCGACGCTGTATACCTTTAACGTGCTGATATTCCGGCATAGACCCATCCGGCTAACTAAACCGTATAACAACGGCAGCCGGCGAGGGATAGTGCGTCAGATTAGACGGCTTTCCAAATCGCTATCTTAGGTAGCGAAGGGAATATTTTCTTAGATCCTTCAGACTTAGATCCTTCGGACCTACGGATCAAGCAGGAAAGGCCGAAGCCCAGGAGCTTACTCTTTAGTTCGACGGGTTCGGGTACGATAGCCCAGGACAGCTATCGGCCTTGGAGGATAACGAGAGGCAGACGGAGAGCACACAGAGCGCGCATACAATGGAGATAGTGGAGATGCCCTTAAAATCTATCAGCATCAAGAGTCCGCCATCGCTGGAGACGCCCTTATCGGTAGCTTCGGCCACCGGGTTAGCCCAGGCGACTCTAGTGGCCGAGGAACAACCGAGGGATATCTAGAACGGCAGCGAGACTGCCGCATTATGCATAGGGGCTAACCTGGGCCGCGATTTAAGAGATTTTCTAAGGTGGGAAGCGGAAAACACGCACTTATATTGCCCGTGGGAATTGTCGGGTAATAGCCCGGATATACGCATAAAAATACTGGGTGTCGGATGATAGCCTAGATATACGCATAAGAATACTAGGTATGGGAAAGCAACCTAGTATATTGTCACAGGGGCAGTTGGTGTCACAAACAGCGTTACTAATCAAATAGATCAAATAGAAGATACTGTCAAAACAGCTCTAAAAATGGGCGCTCAATCCGTTGATTCAATTGAAGCTGTAGAACTGTAGTTATAGGAGGGAAAATCTGCCCCCTGCGCGCCCGTTCCGTCCAACCCTCACAGCTATTCTACGGCTGTTACAGGTGGCTGGTATAATAGCCTTGGCGGGCGGTCTGTGCGATAGCTGGTGGATCTAATATATGTAGCAGCAACTAGTCACTCTTCGATGTGTGGAGCCTAGTCGGATTCGTAACACGTAACTAAGGTACGCCTATCGCTCAGGAACGTACAGTCTAACCCCTGTTAAATAGTGTTTGGTGTACTTGCGGATCCGAATAAACGGGTCCGACCACCGAGCCATCCAAACGCACTTTGACACTACGATCACGGCGGTAGAACCGGAGCAGAGGCTGCTTTTTAAAGCATGCAAACTAGGAGGGAATCCGTAGGGACGTGAGGGACCGACTAAAAGAGTTACCGCCGGTAACTCAGATTAAAGCATTCCACGATAGACTTATAGACATCGTACGGGAAGCGATTACACGATATACTCTAAAGGCGAAGCCCTTACCCTTCGCTAAGAGGTGGTGGACTCTCGAACTGACTAACGCTCGGAATGATTATATATACTGGCTAACCTGGCGAGAGCAGCACGGAAAGCTTAAGTAAGCACCCAGGAACTTAAGAATAAAGCCAGGTAAGCGAAGAAGGTCTTCTTCGACACGGCCTATTAATAAAAACGCTAATACTAGAAAGACTTCTTAGATAATTAAGCGAATATATAGTAAGCGGCGAAATATCTCGATCTAATAACTATAACTAGGATTATAAGGATTCTAGAAATTATAAAGAATAACGGGATAATTATAAATAATAATAGGGAGATAGCGTAAACTATACTTACCGACCTCTTCTTACCGGTGCCGGACACGGAACCCACAGAATCGAAACGGGAAATACCTATCTAGATTAACGCTAAGCTAATTATTATAGAGAACGTACGTAGAGCGATATTTATAATAAGCCTATATAAGGCGCCGGGAGAGGATAGTATACTTAGTAGTGGTATAGCGAGAGCTATAGCCAGTTTTACAGGAACGACTCTTCTAACTCTTTACTAGCTTACTTAACTAAGTATACCTTCTCTTAGCGTGGAGAATAGCAAAGATCGTGCCGATAAGAAGGGAGGGCAAAGGAAGGGACTTCCGGAAGGTAACATCATACCGGCCAATCTCATTATTATCGACCCTCGGAAAACCATTAACACCATTACCCCCCTTCGTCACGCACAGGAGGTCAAACCTATTACTAAAGAGTGGCAGCCTGGTTATAGTTACGAATATATGTTTCTTCCTCTTTCTGAATATAGCTCTTTCTCTGAGGGGACCCATATAGTATGTATCATCATGTTTTAAACATATTAAACAAGGTGTCTCGGTTGGAAATCGTTATGCCGTTTCTCACTAAGAGTGGAGCCAGGGAACTTCAGGCAGCATCGCATTACGATGGTGAAACCCCACACCCACACCTCTTTCCTGTCGCATAGACCGCCCGCCAAGGCTATTATACCAGTCACTAGAACAGCCGTAGAACAGCTATCAGGGTTGGACGGGAACGGGCGCGCAGGGGCATATTTTTCCCTCCTACAACTATAGTTCTACAGCTTCAATTGAATCAACGGATGGAGCCTATTTTACAGTTGTCGATAGTATCTTCTATTTAATCCTTTTACGCTGTTTGTGACATTTCCTCTCAACCTCGTTCCTCTAAGCCGCGAGATCCGTGGACACCGCCTTATTGTATTTGTTGTCTTGATGCTATGTACATAGTGCGAAAAGGCCAGGTAAAATAAAGGAAATTACATCCCTGAGCGACAAGGGTACCTCAGTCACGTGTTACGAATCCCACTAGGCTCGACAGAGCCATAAACCAGAAATGTCAGAAGGGATTATGGATATTTGAAAGATATCCGGTTCTAGAGATCAAACGATCGTTAACGGCAGGAATACTATAAAAGTAATTAATAAGGATAAGTTTTAGGCGTACTTCGGAAGGCGGTCAGGCCGATAAGTCAGGAAGGCGGTCAGGCCGACAAGTCAGGAAAGCGGTCAGTAATCAGCAGACCAGACCAAGAGGAAATCAGAGTAAGCTCGTGCCACTATTTCCTTAGCTAATCCTCCTAGCTGTCTTTCAGTGTCTATAAAGGGTAAGGTACCCTACTATTATAGGTATTATAGTGAGGAGTAAAGAGAGGCTGTTACAGAATCATAGATGGATAACAGGTGTCTAAAAGATAGGCAGTGGTTACCCTTAGGAGGGGGTACTATGCTGAGATTGCTCGTTGAACTCCTCTCCTGGAGTCCTTCCAAAGGTGCCTCTTTATATTTATCCTTGGAGCCCAAGGCAAGGTGGCCTTTCGTAAGTCAACTAGTGGCTTTCAATAGATAGCCACCAGTAGGTCAACAAGAGTTAGCCAGTGGCTCCTATATAAGGCAGCCACTGAAGTCAGCTTTGCGTCAGTTTCGGTGATAGATTTTTATAAGTCCACCACCACCCCCTATATATATAATTTCAACCTTTGAGACAACTATAGTCCTCTAAGTGCTTAATATTAGTCTAATATAAAATAAGGTCCAGGCTATAATAACTATCTCCGAACGTATTGTCTTAAAAGCAGGATCCGTGTAATTAACTCCTATCTCTGTTATGGAAATATATATACGACTCTAACCCTGCGTAGGCTTACTAGCGTATACCTCGAATAATATTAACTGAATATTAAGAATTCGAAGATATCCTTTCTTCCCGAATAATACGGAGACATATTAGGTCGGTTACTAGGGCGCTTAAAGCTACCTTAGAATGACGGACTGTGGAAAATAAATGGCATGCTCCATTTCCGTATGGCTTGCAAAGTGTTCGATAGCCGGCGATAACGGGAATACCGATATTACCGATATTAAACAACACTCCACCATCTATCCAAGCGGTTTTCGCGGTATAGATTATGCTAAGCACGTTCTAGTACGTTATAATAGATAACTCTTTCCGAATTCTGGAGTTCTTCACGCGCCAGTATAAATAGGCTTTAAAAATCGAGGCTTTGCATGCCTTGATGGATTCTTCTAGGTCGATCCGCACGGCATGGCAGAACCTAAGTCATATTATATTCAATGCACCTCCTTTAGCACGAGACTCGGCGCGGGACGTACCTGTTCTATCGCTTTTCCTCCGGCGCTATTATTTTCTCCGTGTTATCTCCGTGGTTAGCCATTATAGGACCTTCTGCTTCGTACTAGGCTAACAGGTGGCCGTAATACTCGGCCACCTTGTCTGGATTATCCTTAGCCGAGGCATAGCCAGACTCCGCAAAGCTTTCCAGATTAGATATTGAAGCTAAGCTTGCGTTAGAAAAAGGAGAATACTGGGGAGCCCGTATACTTTGATATCGAGCCTGTAAAAGGCGGGTTATGAATTGAGCTAGCATCGTAAGTTACGTAACGTTAGTAGCTTATCCAGTCTCGTAGCCGTATCCTGTCCAGGTTTCTCCGCAGGCTAGGCACGCGAGGCGTCTCCCTTACTAGTCGCTCTGACCTCTGCCAATGGATACTAATGAGTGAGTCGTAAGTAGGAACGAAAGAACCCAGTAGTCAGAAAAAACCCAAGCTCGATCATTTACTAAGAAGACACTTTAGTTTATTAACCTGCTGCTATAGCCGTCCCTTAGATATCACACAGAACCCCTGCACACGATTAAGCCGCACCCAAGACTCAGCTACGTCTCTCGTCGCCCCGTTCCCTGCGTGCAGCTATAGAAGTAAGCAATGTAGTCGAGATGTTGGCTGACTGGCCGAGCATGCCGCTCGTCCGGGGACGGATTAACCATTGGATATAAGAGCTAATAAAATCAGATAATAAGTAAGATACGATAGGTCTTTGATATCTCGGGATAACCTAGAACATATAAGCAGAAACATAGAATAAGAGATTATATATAACTAGGTTATGGAGTGACGGAGTATTATATAACTATAGCTTACGTATATATAGAGAACTATAGTATATATCAGAGTTTACACGGTGTTACGGGCCTGTTACCTGCGTCTAATCTAAGAGAACGACCCGTCCCGATAGTTTAGTTCTATACAGGGTAATATACCTACTAGTAACTGATTCTTTGTGTAAACGCCGCTATTTTTGGCTAGCAGTGCCCGTTATATAATAGTGGCTTTTCAATATTGCGTAGTGCCTTTATATTAGGTATCTTTGTATGAGCTAAGTCACCGCTTTCCCTTTACGTCGTCTCACTTCACTGCCTTTCCTATCTGTCCACCTGACCGCTTTCCGAAATGGTCGAATATTCTAACCGCTTGCCGAATTATTGAGGTCCTAAAACCTGTCCGGCTCCGACCGCCTACCTAATTGATGGATGTCCTATATCTCGTCCCCTGAGTGCTAAGTTCATGGACTGTTTGGTGTTGAAGAAACGGACGTTTAATAGCTTATCCGTATTATTCCCTTCGTATTATGACCCCTAATTCCGGTTCTTGGCTTCTACCGTTATAATATATTTTCAGATGTATATAGCTCTGCCCTTAGGGATCCTGGGTTGCTTCTCCCGTACCTCTTACTCCCTCTTCTCCCCTGGCTGGCCACTGCTCTCTCTCTCTCTCTCTCTGTGTATGTGTTCGTCTGCTTAGCCACTCGTAACCTCTTCCACCGCCAGCTTTA